TCTGGTGGTAGGACCCTTCTTAGTCGTAGAGGCAGACTTGGAGGTTGAATCACTTGGCGGATCAGTCTTCTTCGCGGCAGCCTTGCCCTTCGTGGGAGCAGCAGAGGCTGTCTTAGTCGATGACTTCTTGCTGGAGATGGGCTCATCTTCGTTGGTCTTGTTGCTGGTAGAAACAGTGGACCGACGACCACGCTTGGGAGCAGGGGCCGTAGATCTGGTCGTAGATTTGGTTCCGACTCCAAGGGTCTCGTCAGTAGTAGAAGTAGTAGACTTACGACCACGAGTAGGAGCAGGAGTTGTAGACCTGATCGGAGTTCTGCCTCTAGGAGCGTTGTCGTTGGTCGAAGTAGTGGACTGGCGACCACGCGTGAGAGCAGGGGCCATAGATCTAGTTCTGGCTCCAGTGGCCTTGTCGTTGGTAGAAGCAGTGGGCTTGCGACCACGCCTGGGAGCAGGGGACATAGACCTGGTTGAGGTTCTGCCTCTAGGGGCGTTGTCGTTGGTCGAAGTAGTGGACTGGCGACCACGTGTGGAAGCAGGGGCCATAGACCTGGTTCTAGCTCTAGTGGCCTTCTCGCCGGTAGAAGAAGCAGCAGATTTGCGACCACGCTTTGGAGGAAGGTCCACAGAGCTGTCTTCATCCTCGGCGGCAAGGTCGTTGATAGAAGCAGCGGACCTGCGGCCACGCCTGGGAGCGGGAGTCATAGATATGGTTCTGGGTCCAGTGGTCCTTTCGCCAGTAGTAGAAGCAGCAGACTTGTAACCACGCCTGGTGGGAGGGTCGACGGGACTGGATCTGTCTTCGGCGTCCTTACCGTGGGCCTCGTCGTTGGTAGAGGCAGTAGACTTGCGACCACGCTTGGCTGGAGGAGCAATGGAACTGGTTCTAGCCTTGCGCTTAGACTTCCTTTGCTGAGCTTGAGACTCGGCGGCTTTGGCAGTCACATGAATCTTCCTGCCACGGCCAATAGCTGGGCCCGGAACAGTACGCTGGGATCGGGGAGATGGTTCCTCCTCATCATCTTCATCAGCTTCTTCATCGCTGCCCTGGTGCTTGGCATTCTTAGAGGCCGCAGACTGAACAGTAGAGCCATGGACCTCTGGCTTGCTTCTTGGCGTATTAGAACATGGGTTGCAACGAGTGGTGGATGATTGATACTTACAAAGCAGGCGGACGGTTCATACCGTGCATGACGGTGACACCAGGGTGATCCTCATTGTGAGACTCACGGACATGGCTGCGCAGGGTGGAAGAGTCGCGGACTTCCATGTCACAATAGTCGCATGTACGCTCGCAGGGCCAGATGCGGAGCTCACCCTCTTCGGGCCACTTGTGCTCGCCACGATGGGCAGGAATGTCGCAAGGCATGATTGCTCGTGGTTGTCCGGGCGTGAGTTGAGTTTGCGAGGTGGTTAGTTGAGTGAGGAGTGACCGGCAAGGTTGGGGTTGACGGGTGTCGGGGATTTGCCGGAGGGGAAGTCGACTCGGCGTTTGATGCTCGAGCAGAGACCCCACGTGCGTGCAGGTATGACAAGACAACAAAATATCAGAATCCGCGGGTTTTTGGTCAGTTGCGGGTCAGGGAGAGGTGGGGTGGAGGGTTGCTGTTGCGAGTTGGAAACTAAATACGGCCGCGGCCCGAGTCGTTGATCCGGCCGCCAAGCAAGCTTCCGCCGCCCAGGTCCAGGCACTTGACCGCAATTGCGCACAGAGCCGACCCCGTGCTCACTTTTATTCTATTCCCTGATCTATCGGTTGACGGTTTTACCTTTTTCACGGCGACTGCAAACCCCTACAGTAGTCTCAAGAGCTTCCCGAACGCGGTGGCGTGCCAGGCTGCCAACTCTGCCTTGCAGTGCATCAGGGCCTTTTTACTAACTACGAGAAGCTCTAGGTCCTCGATATGGTATGATAAACATGCTTCTTTGATTGCATGAGGAGACTGAAAGCTTTCTAGCCATTTCTGTAAAGGTAGCGGTCGTACTGGACCCCAATGCAAGGCACGCCGCACGCGCAGTTCACAAGAAGCCGCCTGCAACTATGATGACGAAACAACCTATGCATTTTGGCATAAAAAGGCAAGCAGCAACCGGCCCCCACTATTCAAGTGTTAATCCACTTCAACATCTGAAGACAGCTTGCAATAGCTCTCACTGCGGCATCAGTGACCTTTGAACAATGACACCATTTGCCGCTTCAACACACTATACAGTTTCTAGCAGCGAATAAAATGCTCCTACAGACATAGGATATCTAGGGCTTCGCGCTGGAGAGACTGTCTACTGCATAAAACTACATGGGCGTTGTGGGACGGGTGCTGAGCTGAGAATCCGACGGTCAAACCGCGCAACCAAAGGACGCCAGGAGCATTACAACCCTACATGAGGACGGAGGACATACTGAACTAAAGCATGGACTGGCCTGCTCCTTTTAGCCTACTCTGGCATAATTCGGCGTCAAATTGGTTCCTTCACTGGACACGATGAGCCTAGTTTTCGCTGACATTTGCTGCGCAACCACCGGCAGCCTCGCGCTAACTCTTATTGGATTTCGGACCTTAAAACCTCGCAAAGGACATGCGAAACTAGCGGTTCTAGCATCGTTAGCATTGATTAAAGTGCTGTGGAACTGACAGTGTGGGCGCGGCCACCAACTAACATTTTGAATACCTAACTTTTCAAAGTGAATAGTCCCGCGAAGCTGCTATCACTGTAATTAGCATTTATCTACATGTATGGGTCTATGCGTCTAGAATTACTGATGTGGTTGGTTCCTGAAGCTCTCTTTGGCCACTGAGATGGCGCATTAAAGGTAATGAACCGTATTTGCACCAGAGACTTCCATTTCAATAGTTTTACAGCGGACGCTATTCAACCATCAATACTTCTCTTTGAACTGCAGACCAGAAATTAGTTCCCTTAAATAGCCTTTACTGCACTCTTAATCAATTATAAATGAAGTGAAGACTACGTAGCCATCTCTGCACACGGAGACGAGAAAAACTACTTTAAGAAAGCAATTTGATACTACCATGAGCAGAAAAGTCCTTGCAAGTCAAAGCACAGCCCTCACTGAAGACCAAACAGCACTGCAGCCGTCAAACCATTTATTTTGTTCCAGCGGAGCTGCGAGCTGCGAGCCAGCAAGCCAAAGATACGACCAGAAGCAACCCAAGCATCCTAGGCTCGGCGTCTTACCCCGCAAGCAATCACTGTCCCTTGACTCCGCATGACAGCCTTATGCCCCGGTCTTTGCTTACACTGCTTGCCAGACCAGCTGCTCTTTGCCTGGTAGGTAGGCTCATCTGAATTTGCAATAAAGAAACTTGGTCGTGCTTCGATACTTATTGCTAAACCAATTCGACTAGGACGCGCCGGCCTAGCTCTATACCATCCCAGGCACGCGATTCCAGATCCACAGTCCACTAGAACCGTCCAGTCTTCAGAAGAGTATTCAAGCCCTCCCAAGTCCAGGACCTGTCACACTACCACGCCACCATCTCCGCTAGCATCCCACCGGTGCTTAAATTGTCTGGCGCAGGCGCCTAACTGCCAACCGTTTACCGGAAGCCAGTTCCAGGATCCCGCGCTCCGAACATACGGGAAGCAACCAGCAAGGCCGAGCACCTATAGCAAAAGCCTCTTACACAGCCGCAACGGGTACCCCCACTGCTCCAGTCAGTCCCCTGTTAAGTCCAGGGCATTCTAGAACTCCGTACATTCATTCAAGCATCCGCCTGCTACGTCCAGCTCCGCATAGCAGCAACACACTGCCCTCTGCCGGGGAGCGCACTCGCGCGCAAAGCCTCACCCCAGGAGCTATTACTATAAGCCGACGAAGGGAGCCCAGCGGCACAGCTGCGCCAGTCCGGTTTCCTGGCAAAAGCAGTTCCTAGGTTCTGAGGACAACGGCGCGCTGAACATGCTCCCACCACCCGCAACAACAGGTGCAGAGCGCAGAGCCAGTAAAGACTTGACGGACGCAAGTCCGACTTCCTCCCAGAGTCCCAGAGTCTTCATCTCCCTCTGACACTCTCTCCGCGCACTCAGACACAAACTCACAGCACCACGCCCACACACAGCACCCAACCCCGCCCCTTTCCCCAACCCCAACCAAAAGACCAACACGCACCGAGAAACCAGGCAGCGAGCCAGCGCCGCAGCGCCTGTCTGTGTGCGCCGCAATGCCGTGGCAAGCAGGCACGCTGCGTACCGTGCGGCGCTGGCGTTTGCTTTCTTACGTCGTAGTAGCAGGTATACGCCCTCGGTTGGCGGTTGGCGCTTAGCGGTTGGCCCTCTCCCTCTCCCTTCTTAGGGGGGACAGGCCGTGTGGTCTTCTCTGCTCTGCTCTGCCCCGCTCTATTTTGAGTCCAGTACGTGCGCGCGTGCGTGCATGCATGCGGTACGGTAGAGGAGGGTCAGGGTTAGGACGCCGTAGGTAGGTAGCTACTGTGCCTACCCTGTCTGGCTCGGCGTGTGGACACTGGGCACTGGGCACCGGGCCGTCCATGCCATGCCCTAGGATGGATGGAGTGGGGGGATGGGGGATTCGTGGTCCAGGGAAGCGTTGCGCCGCTGCGCCGCGGGCGGGTGGTGGTAGTGGCAGCGGCGCTGGCGTCGTTACAGAGCGGTAGGCTGTGCTTGTCTTGTCTTGTTGTCTTATAGTTCATTGCAGGAGACAGGAGCGGCGCGCGCTGCTGCGGCGAAGGGGTACCATACCCACTTAAATGAGCCGGGAAGGTCGAAAGCTGTGCTGTGCGCAGAGGGTTCAGGGCAGTATGGTGGAGTCCTGGCACTGTGTTTGTAGTATAGTATATACTGTGTACTGCATACTGCATACTGCGTACTACATACCGCGTCCAGGAACAAGCGCAGAGAGTTAAAGAAAGAACAGATAAAGGTAAAGATAGGTAGGTATCGTCGAGCAACCTCTGCATTGGCATTGGCATTGGCATTGGCATTGTTGAAATCCAGGAGATGGGATCACGGGAAATCTCAAACTGCGCTCTCGTACATGAATATGATGTACATACATACTATACCATACATACAATGGATACATACAACCAACGCCGCAAAGAAAAGAAGCGCCTAGAAAGCAGAAAGCAGAAAGCAGGAAGCCGCAACAACAACCTCCAAGTGCCATACCTTAGCCACATCTATCATACGGTCCACCCACCGCGCCGCCAACAAAAACCCCCATCATCAACGAAACCAAATTCCCCCAGGCAAGAAAAAAAACAACAACAACAACAACAACAACCGCGAGCCACCTACCTCCGCCCGCCTACGTCCTTCGGCAATAGTCCCGGCCATGCGCGACCTGCCACCCACACAACCACACCTCAACGGCCATACCCACAAACCCGGCCGCGCAGATCCCCGCCGAATCGCTCACACTAGTCGCGCCAAGGCTGAACTCGCGCTCGGCAGTCGGGACATTATCCGTGATCTCGGCGAACGTGCTCACGTAGACCAAGCCACCCAGCAAGCCCTCCCAGAACACAATCGCAAAGACAATCCACACGCTCGGGATAAAGTCCCACACGGCGTGCGCGGCCAGCACCGCCAGGTTCAGCACCTGCAGCAGCGACGGCACGTACAGCGCGTGCACGCGGAAAAAGGGCGTCGAGGAGCGGCTGAGGAAGACGCCGGTTTGGTAGATGGCGTTGTAGGTGGGGTAGAAGGCGCGGAATTCGGTGAAGGGGGAGGTGCGCAAGGGGAATAGCAGCGTGGGCGCCACGCCTTGGTTGATGGTGTATTCGGCGATGTAGACGAGGAGGAGGGGCATCATGCTAGGGGGCAGAAGTCGGCGGTCAGCTTACCTTTGTTTTTGTTTTTTTCGTTTTGTTGTGGTTGTTGCGTGGGGCTTTTGCGGGGGAGGTGGGAGAATGGCACGAAGAGGCGATGGGGCTGCGGACGCGGGGGACTTACTAAGGAATGAACAGGCCGCTGACGCGGTGGAAGTTCGTCTTCAGGCTGGTCAAGACCTTGTGGCGGCGCGAGCGCGAGTGCGAACTCGAGGCGAAGCTCTTGCCAGAGGCAGAGATGAGCGAGGCGCCCATGAGGGCCGTCTCGTCATCCATGGGGTCGCGCAAGCCGTCCTCTTCGGCTTCTTCCTCCGCCTCAAGCCGCTCGTACTCTTGGCGCGCAGCGTCGGCCGCAGTCAGGGGCCCTTTGGGGAGGATGGCGAAGAAGCTCAGCAGCATGATCACGGGCAAGCAGGAAAACACCAGCAGACTGGTGCGCACGCTCAGGCCGATGGAGGTCGTGGCGACGACGTAGGCGCCTGCGCCCACGAGGCCTGCGCCGCCGGTGCCGCTCCCCCACGAGGCCAGGCTGAAGTGGCCGTAGTAGTGGGTCAGGCCCAGGAAGCTGAGCTCTCCTCCGCCCGCGCTCAGGCTGGCAAAGACTATACCCACCATGCGCATGCCTATCGATCCGCCATGGCGCTCGGTTGGGGCCAGCGCGATGAGCAGCATGCCCGCGGCCGACAGGGCGCTGAAGACGAGGATGCGCGCATGGTAGGGCACTTCGTGGATGAAGTAGGGGGCGACGAGCTTGGTCAGGAAGGACGGGATGACGTCGGCGAGCAGGACCACGCCCTTGGGGACGGCGGGGCCAACGAGGTCGACGGCGGCGGAAAGGATGATCACGTAGAGGACGTTGTTGATGAGGCCTGGAGGGGGTGGGGTGGCGGTCAGCAAGTGTATGTACTCGTTGCGCAAGGCACGCACCAAACAACCAAAAGGCGGCGCAGACTCTGGGGTCGGCGCCCTGGAAGAGAGCCTTGAATTTGGCCGCAGCGGGAGTGCCGGGCATGGTGTGGGTGCAACTGCGGGGACTAGTGCGCTGCCAGTTCACCGGCGATCCATGGTGGTGTGCGACGGAGGGATTGGAGGTTTCCAGAAGGAAGCTAGCACTAGGATTTTATTTAAACGGGCACTTGCGAGAGGGGCCACGCGTTTTGGGGGGAGGGACGGAGGGACTTTAATGATTTGCACGCTGACCGTAAGGGAATAGACGTGGCCGAAGACAAAAGTGTTCATGGAGAAGAAATGCGGCCACGACATGGATGACGGGCTGCACTGATGGCTGTCTGGCCCCGTGCGTGGCTTCCCTGCCCTGCCTGCCCCTGCACCCGCGCACGGATTGATGTGTTTTAGTGCAAACCACGGGCTTGACCCTCTCTTCTCGTCTCTCTCGCTCTCGCTCTCTCGCGTCTCTCTCGCACTGCCAGCACTGCGCTCCACTTCTACGCTCCTCTCTCTCTCTTTCTCTCTCCTCCTCATTCCTTTCTCCTCCACCACCCGACTACCACCACCTACTACCACACACGACCACGACCACTACCACTCCGCCGCCGTTGTCGTCCCCCCGATCCTTCGTCTGCGATGCGCCGCCAGTCACGCGTCTGAATCGCCTGTCTCGACACACGCACGCACCCCCACGACGACCATGGACTCGCGCCCGTCACAGGGGAGGCCGTTCCAGTCGTCGGCCTCGCAATCGTCGCACCCCGCTGCGTATCCGCAGTACGGCCCTCCGACGGCGTCGCAGCCACCAGTCCACGTCCCCTTCTCGGATCCGTTTCAGCACCGCGACCCGTTTCTCCCTTCGGCACAACAGCGCAGGGGTAGCTATGGACTGCAGGGCGGCACAGAGCGAGGCTGGGGCAACAGTTCTGGTAGGTTGCCCTTTTCATTCGAGACATGCGGAGAAAGGGCCCGGCCCGTGGGACGCGCGCGCACATCACATCGTCAGCAGGGCAGCGAGATTTTTGGTTGCACCTGACGTTTCAGGGCATTCCGCTTGACAGTTGGCTCATTTTCTTGTCTCGCTCCGCACCCGCAGGCGCGGCACGCTAAGCGGCACCAACCCCCGGTCGCGCGCGCGAGAGACAAACAGAGATCGCGCTAACGCTCCCATCTTGTTAACAGCGACTGCGACTACGAATACTACCACAACCACCAACACCACCACCACGACACCCGAGGCCGCGCAATCCCAGTCGTCGTCGCACCCGCACCGCCACCACCACCACCACCACCGTCCGCACCAGAACTCCGCTCCACCTCCGCCCCCGCCAAATCTCACCGCCTCCGCTTCCGCCTCCGCCCCATTCCCCCCCTTCGAGTCGTCGTCGCAACGGAGGCGCTCGCTTGGCGGTGCCAGCCCTCCACATTACTATGCTGGTACGTTCTTTTTGCTTCCTCCCCCCTGATCCTCCACCACATGCTGATCACCACCACAGCCACACGTGACCCCCCTCCGCCTCCCCCCTCCTTCACCAACCGCCACATGCCCCCTCCCTCGTCGCCGCAGCAGTCCGCCCAGCTCCCGCCCTATCCTGGCCAGCGTGCCTTCTCCTCGGGCCGTGACCTGCCGGGCCTGGTCGGCCCTCCCCGGCCCAACAGCAACATGTCCATCTCCTCGCTCATGGGAATTGATCCCGCCCAAGCCGCCCGTCAGTCGCACTACTCTCCCACCTCCACCACGGCTCCTTCTCCCTCCCTCAGCACCATGCAGCCCCCTTCTCCCCGCAGGAGCTTGATTGGCGGCGCTAGAATTGATTACCCTCAATATCGCCGCCCAGAGACCCCCGACCAATATCCTCCCGGCGGCGCTGCAAGGGTCCCTGATAGGGCGGCATACCCGGCTGGCTCCCCTCGTCCTTTCGGACCTCCACCCATGGGCTCCCCAGAAGTGTCTCGGCAAGGCTTGTCTTCGGCCCCGCAATCGGCCAAGCCTGCATCTCTGCATGAACCTCGCCCTTACTACCACGCTTCCCCTGCTGACTCTGCCGGCAATGATCTCTCGCGCCAACCAGGACCCGCAGTCCCCCCAAGGCCAAACAGCCAGCCGACGGGTCCTTTGGCAGGCCCGCCGCCCACGGACGCAAGGCTAGGATATGGGGCTGCCAGTGAGAGAAGGCCTCTGTTCGGTCTTTCCGAGGAAGAGCGCAGAGCGGCCCAAGACAACCAATATCAGGCGAGGCCCGCCGGTCCGAGCACCGCAGATATCTCACGGCTCGATGCAAGTGGCAGGGAACGTCCGTCGACAGTCCAACCGCTTTCGCATGCTCTGTTCGACCGGCCGGAGTCGCGCATTGTACAACCCCCAGCTGCAGGACAGCCCCCAAGGGGGAGTCTATTTTGGCACCCGCAACCAAGGGTTCACGTTGCCGGGGAGCCATATCAGCAAGCGCAGGAAGAGCATAGGGAGCCGTTCCCTCCTGGACCCCGTAATGTCCCCGGCTCAGGTCCTCCTCAGTTGATGGGCCTTAATCGGACTGCCATAAACGTTCACAACGCCCCGTCTGAGCAACCCCAGCGATTCCCGATGGGTCCTGAAGCTAGGAGAGGTCCTGAGCATTATCAGAGCCCACCGACATCTGATCCGAGCAGTTTGGATCGGCGTAGGCCTGAGGCAGCTGGACCGCCTCACAATAGCTACGGGGCTCGATCGTCGTCCTATGAGTATCATGGGAAGCCGGAAGGCGCCGACATGCAAAAGTCCCGCTCCTTCCTGGGAGTCAGCCCTGAAGCCAGACGGACCGGGCGTGCTTCGCCCCTTCCTCAGGCCGTTCAAGGCGCCCAGGCTCAACCAGTCGTTCCTGGTGGGGACCCAAGCATCAAGAATGAGTTTGGACGTATGTTCTCCGGTCTGGGCAGCGGCCTTGTGAGTGCGCCATCCACTCATGGTTCTGCCACTCCAGGACGGGGAAGCCCGTTCCAGCAGAATGGAGATTCAAATGGCGACCTGGATGTGCTCGGCAGAGCGGCTTCCCGCGGTGCCAGGCGCAGAAGGGTCAAGGATGAAGAAGGTCGGCCTGAGAATGACATGATCGATGGTAGAGTGACTCCAGGAGCGATGAGCCAGCGGAATACGAAGAGGCCAAAGCATACTCATCCCGCGGGTCACCACCACCATCACCTGTACACCCATCAGTAAGTTTGGTTTTCTCGAAAAACGTGACTCAAATTCTAATTACTTCCAGTCATCACCACAGACCTGAGGAGGAGCAACTGGCCATGGCGAATCCGCAAGCCGCGACTACTCCCATTTCTTTCAGTAAGATGAACGGTGTTCAGGCGCAGACTCCGATTGCAGCACCAACACACCATCATCACCACCATCACCATGCCCCTCATCCGGCTCATCACCATCACCATCATCATCACGCTCCTCGGCCCCCTACGGCAACTGCACAGATTCCTTTGACCAAGCCTATCGTGGAAGTGAACTCCCAGAAAGTCTTTGAAAAGGTCAAGGATCTCCCGCGCCACCACCTTGGCAGCGTCATCTATGAAGCCACAACCGCGCCGCCACCCTCTAAGAACACTAGCATCGACGATCGGTACGGCTTCCGCAGCATCCCTGCACCTCTCCCTGATGCGTCTGGTAAGGAGGGTTGCACGATTACGGTTCGTGTGCCCCGCTATTACCTTACTGAGCGCCAGCGCGATGTTGTTTGTTGTAGCAAACATCTGTGGGGCACGGACGTTTACACGAACGATTCGGATGTGCTCGCAGCAGCGATCCATTCGGGATGGATCCGGGGAGCCTGGGCGGAAGATGTGGACGTGGCTCTGTTGGACCCTAGGATCGGCGGCGAGGAGACGGCGAAAGAAGCGGAGACTAACAAACCGCTTACTACGAAGCCGGAATACCCAGCCGTTCCACCGGCGGATATGGATGTGCACATCACGGTGCTTATCGTGCCGGCGCTTACGAGCTACAAGTCGACGGTATGTTACGGTATCAAGAGCAGGGCGAGAAAGACGCACACCGGCTCGAGTTACAAGATCGAACGTGTCGAATGGGTCGATGATGAGGGGACGAAGAAGGGAGAAGAAAGGAGTGGGAAGGCAAGAAGGGAGCGCCTGGCAGCAGCACAGAGTTTGGTTGCGCTGCTGACGGGTGTGGGAAGAGATAATCAGGGAAACGAGCAGCAGATGAAGAGCGAGGAGCAGCGGATGAACATGCAAATGGGAACGGCGCAGGCGGTCGCTTGAGGCGTTACCGCGCACGCCGTTGACCAAAGGAAAGGACTCGAACATGGCCAAAAAGTCGAGAGGACAAAAAAGGTCCTGTGACGAATTTCATGAGGAACATTCAGGGCGACGAAAAAGCATTGCTTCTGGCCGGAAATGGAGGGCTCTCATCAGGACGGGGGCAAGAAAGAAGGCAGGCGCAAGGCAGGGCTTGCTTTTTTTCTTTTCTTTTCTTTTTTCTGACGCGACCAAGTTGCCACGAACACGCGCGAGCTGCTGGGTGGATTCGTTACTTTTTGCTGCATCCCTCTGATGTGATGATGCCGGCCTGGACGTCGGCACTCGTACGACATGAATCTTTGTACAGCGAGGGCGGCGCACGTGTAGTAGCTAGGATACCCACCCCCTCTCGAGTCCGTCGCGCCAGCCAGCCAGCCGAGCGAGCGGATTCTTCGTTTTAGTATTTTAGTTTCTTTGGGATCTCTTCTCTTAGCCATGACCGGGGCGACGAAATGCATGCTGTCTTGCTTGATTGCTTGATTTGTTGGCTGTTTGTGACTTGTCGGGCTGTGAGCATTCGGAGGAGTGATGAGTTGTTTGTATGTATGCGTGTGTATGTACATGTACATATGTGTACGACGGCGCACCCGCGGGCGCAGTGAGACAGTTAAAAAGTCCGACGAGTGGTGTGCGACGGGCGCGTGCATTGCATGCCACGCCGCGCCGTGCCGTGCCGTGCCTTGCCTTGTCTTGCCTTGTCTTGCTAGCTAGCCTGCTGAATGTGACTGTGCTGTGACTGAAGATAAGGGAAGCGAGGAGCAGCAGCTCTCTGCCAGCCGGCTCGTTGCTTGCTCAGCTCAGCTTAGCACAGCCCCGGACACCACGCCGCGCCTATCACCCTTTCTCTCTATCTCTTTGCCTTGTCGCCGAGGATTATATATATCTTGCCCGCTGTTTCTCTCCTTGTTGTTGTTGTTCGGACTACCAGTTGGTATTTATCATCATCATCGTCGCGTCGCATCGCTGTCGGTGCCGGCGGTTATCTCTCCTCTCTCCCTGCTGCAGCTAATAAATAGTTATTGCGCCATTTGTTGTTCTGTTTCCTTCTTCTTCTTCTTCTTCTTCTTCTTCTTCTTCTCACCACCCTGCGATTGTTTGCTTAGGTATCCTTGTTCGTCGTCGTCGCCCTCCCTACGAGCTCCTCTAGGCCTCCTCTGTCGCCTCCTAGGTCCCTTTCTGCCGAGCCAAAATCGTCCGAGCGCCGTCGACGGGGGGAGAAACTATGGCGCGCAGCCGCGGGAAGGCGACAGTGGTGCACCACTATTCGATCAGCGGCGTAAGCTTCTTCTTTTCCTTTTTCCCTCCCATCATCATCATCTTCTTCATTCTTCTTCTTCGTGGGAGTGGGTAAGTATGTGTGAGTGCGTGCGTGAGTGTATGATGAAGAGGCGGCAAAAGCCAATGGACGACGGGCCCGACTTTCGGCGATTAGCTGTCTGTTGCGTCACCCGCAACCGAAGCAGCCCGGGCGGTCAATGAGGTCGAATCAATTGCTTTTGGGCGGATCGTCGACCGCGCGCAGTAAGGCCGAGCTAAATCGCAACAACACGGTGCTGCTCTGCTCTCTGCCCTCGCGACCCCCCTTTGGCCTCCAACCACCCCCACGACGGCTCTCGTTCCTCCAGCTCCTTCATCTTCCTCCCTCCCCCCACGCCCTCCCCCGCAGCGCCTCCCGGCAGCCCGCTCTCTCCACCGGCACTTGGCACACCTTTGCTGCTCCTTCTGGACCCTGAGCCGCCGCTTCTGATCTCTCCACTGCACCGGTCACCCGCACGCGCTCCCCCGCAAGCCACGCGACCCGCTGCCCTTGCCATTTCTACTTCCCGCAACCCCCGAGTCTCCTGAGCTGTTCAACCCACAGCCCTCTCCTTATTGCTTTCCCCGCAAAAAAAACCACATCCACACACATTCACACACACACGCACACCTTCCTTAGCAATGGCCTCAGACGGAACCAATGGCGTTTTCAAGCCCGAGATGCGCAAAGTGCCAGACGGCGACTTGGTGCGGCCGAACCGCAAGACTAACTCGGTGGGCGTGCAGGCCGAGGACACGCGGATATGCGTCGTCATGGTGGGCTTGCCGGCCAGGGGGAAGAGCCTGATCGCTACCAAGGGTGAGTTGCTCGCACGATGAGGGGCAAAGCCGCCAAGGGAGCAGACTACAGGGATGCGTCCGGGGGGTGGTGGCCACAGAGAGTTCTGACTTGACTGACACACGCGCGCCCAGTGGTCCGATACCTGCACTGGCTGTCCATCACGGCGAAGACGTTCAATGTCGGGCAGTACCGGCGCACGGCGACGCCGACGCCGTCGGCCGACTTCTTCGACACGACGAACCCCGAGGGCGAGCGCCTGCGCCGCGCCGCGGCCGAAGCCGCCGTCAACGACATGTGCAAGTGGTTCCGCGACGGAAAGGGCCTGGTGGCGATTCTGGACGCCACCAACAGCTCCAAGACACGGCGCAAGTGGATACAGGAGCGGTGCCAGGCGGAAAACATCGAGACGCTGTTTGTCGAGAGCAAGTGCGACGACGAGGACATTATCATGCAGAATATTCTCGACGTCAAGACGACGAGCCCGGACTACGCGGGCCAGGACCCCGAGCTCGCCGCCGCGGACTTTCGCAACCGTATCCGCAACTACGAAAAGGTCTACGAGACGATTGACGAGACCAATGAGCGCAATCTGACCTATGTCAAGCTCATTGATGTTGGCAAGCAGGTCATCATCAACCAGATCAAGGATTACCTGCAGAGCCGCGTCGTCTACTACCTGATGAACCTGCACATCAAGCCGAGGTCTATCTGGTTATCGAGGGTACGGCACAATTTTTCTCTTCTCGAATCTTTCTTTCCTCGTGTAACTGACAGAAATTCCGCAGCACGGCGAATCGCAGTACAACCTGACGGGTCAAATCGGCGGCGACGCATCTCTCAGCGACCGAGGCGAGCTGTACGCGCGCAAGCTACCGGAACTCGTTCAGCAATCCGTAGGCGACGGGCGCAAGCTGACAGTGTGGACATCGACGCTGAAGCGAACAATCCAAACGGCACGGTTCCTAGAGTTTGAGAAGCTAGAATGGAAGGCGCTGGACGAGCTGGACAGCGGCGTGTGCGACGGGCTCACGTACGGGCAAATCGAGGAAAAGTACCCGGACGACTTTGCGCAGCGCGACGAGGACAAGTACAACTACCGCTACCTGGGCGGCGAGTCGTACCGCGACGTGGTGATCCGCCTCGAGCCCATCATCATGGAGCTCGAGCGCAGCGAGAACATTCTCATCGTCACCCACCAGGCCATCCTGCGCTGCATCTACGCCTACTTTATGAACGTGCCGCAGGAGCGCAGCCCCTGGATGGAGGTGCCCCTGCATACCCTTATCAAGCTCACCCCTAAGGCGTACGCGACCATGGAGGAGCGCTTGAAGGCCGATATCCCCGCTGTCTCGACGTTTAGGGAGAAGGGCAGCCGTGCGAAACATCAGGAGGCGCAGGAGGCGGCGCAGGAGGCGCATGACAAGCAGAAGGCGTAGGTCTTGCGTTCGTTTTTTGCTTTACTTTGCTCTGCTTTGCTTGTCTCGATCGCTTTTCCGTTGCTTTCTTTGCTTGTTCTTTATCTTTTAACTCTTTTACACACGTTTTGGTCAGAACATCAGGGTGGGTTGGGACGGGGGGGGGGGGGGGGGGGGGGGGGGGGGGGGGGGGACATGGTTGTTAGTACAGCAGCATAAAAGAGGCTGTTGTATCATCATCTTTCTTTTTTTTATCCCCTGTGGTTTTAATTTCTTGCTGTGCGTGGGGTGGGTTGGGTTGGGTTTGAGTAGGTGCGTGGATGCCTACTTACCTACCTCCGCTGCTACCGCTACCGCTACACTACCATTGTCCGTCTGTCACTGCATCCTCTCGGCGCAAAATAATCATCATCATGGGGCTCTCACTACCTTGCTTGCTAGCTACGTACGTACCATACATGTCATGCTGTGTTTCTGGGTCTTTGTTTTCCCTCTACTACTGCTGCTGCTGCTGCTGCTCTCTTTCTCTCTTTCTCTCTCTCTTACTCGCTCTTACTCTACTTACCCTAACTCTCTTTTTCGTACATAATTGGGCGAACCCGCTTACACCTGCGGTTCTTGCCTTTGCGGTCTAGGGTTTTGTTACGGGCTTTTTGCTGTCGTTGTTGTTGTTGTTGTTGTTGTTGTTGTTGTTGTTGTTGTTGCTACGCTGCTGGTTGTTGGCGGGGTTGGGTGTGTGGGGTATGGTGCGGGATGGATGGATGGATGATGCTGATGCTTATACTAATGCTCATGCTGATGTTGATGCTCATAGTGGTGGGGATTAGGGAGGGTATTGTTGCTGTTGCGATTGTTGGCCGTGGCAGAGAAAGAAGAACGTTGATAGGAAAAGAAAAGCGCGTGCTGCTTGCTGCTTGCTGTCTTTGGGCTGTTGGGTTGGCTTTGGTTGGCTTTGTTTTGCTTTGATGTAGAGGCGATGGGGTGGATGGGATGAGATGAGATGAGATGAGATGGTATAAGAGACTGGCAGAACGGACGCGGTGATGTCAATGATGTTCTGATGCTTGCTATGCTGTGCTATGCTATGCTCATAGCGGAGAGGTGGTCTGTAGCGGCAAATGGAATGAATGCAAGCCTTTCTCTCTTCCTTCCTTCCTTCCTTCCTTTCTTTCTTTCTTTCGTCCTTTCTCGCTTTCTGCCCGCCTGCATCTTAGCCTTACCCCCCACACTCCCCCTCTCCACCCCTCCGCCCACAAACACCCAGCAATTCTCCCGGTAAGCAGCCACCGCCCTCGACCCGGGCTGCGCGTGCATGGCATGGCATGGCATAGTCTCGGCCGCGTCTCGCGTCCGTCTCACGTCACGCGTGCGTGCGTGCGTGCGTGGGCAGGTAGGCGAGTGAGTGAGTGGCGCGGCTGAAAGCCTGAAGCCGCTGCCGCTGCCGTTGCCGTGGCCGTGGCCGTGGCGTGTCCGATAGGTTGCAGGAATTTGGAACGGCCTTTTTTTTTTTTTTTTTTCACTTATTGTGGGGTGCTCGGGGCCGGCGCGTGTGGGGGTGTGGGGTTCGGCGTGGCGTGGGGTGATGGTCACGTCGTTTTTTCTGGGGGGGGTAGGAGATTTGGTTGTTGAGCGTGATGATTAGGCGAGTGGGGCGGTTGCTTGGGGGGGTTGGTGCCGGTGGTGGGCCGGTGTGGGTGCTTCTTATTAGCTGTGCGGCTGCTTCTTGACTATGTGTTTGGTTGAAGCTGCGGTTTCGGCTATGGGCTCTTTCGGGGGCTGTAGGTAGCTGTTGTGTTGGACTTTGTAGACGCCTTGTAGGTATGAAAGGAAAAGTATGCGTGGGTATGAGGGCGTTTGAAAGACAGTGAGGATACGGATGTATGAGGGCGTGAGCGTATTCCGTAGAAGTACGAGGATGGGAATGTGTAATGGTACGAGAGTACTCTTTGGGTTGTTGTAATAGGCTATAACACGGCGGCTGGTAGTTTTTAGGTAGATAT